CAAGCTCCGTGCATAAGATTTCTGTAAAAAGGAGCATTAGATCGTATAAGATGTATATAGAGTTCCAGCATGTATTGGTATACATTGAAAAGAGTGAATATAAAAGAGCCCAGACACAACACATTTTTCTAGATGCATTCTCTCAAACTTCTCTCTGTTTGTCTAATTTCTCTCACATAATTCCTTTTGTAAACTTAAGTAGGGTGATGTTGTAATTTGTCACTACATGTAATTTTCTAATATTAATGTCCTGAGAAATAAATTATGAGAAGTCACAACACTCACAAGTGGGTGTTCTTCAATCTTAAAAACTTATTTTGTATTGCACTTTAATTTCAAATATCAGAGTGTCTTTTACCTTTAACTAACCACATAAATTTTGATTATTACTAGCTTACTCTGATTTATTGCTTTGATCAACTGTAAAGTGATGTACATTACTCTTTAATACTCTTCAAGCCCTTGTTTATTTTGTGTCATTCCTTCAATTTACTTTTCATATTTACTTGGAGAATGATACCCTTCAATTTTGCTGCACGTGTTTATGAAAATCAATAGAGATTAGGAAATTAAAGTGGTTGATTATGCCTCCTATTGGTCATGACATTTTATTAGGAAGTATTGAAATATTAATGAGATACAAATTTGCTCTCTTTTTCCAGAACTAGAATATTGGGGATTATCAATTTGAGCTTAATACAGAATTCTGCATTACATGTTTGACTGTCTGGTTCTGATTATGTAACTGAGATACTTCTTGCAGCTCTTAATGCTCGTGGTCTCGATAAGTTTCTGAGTTCCATAGGAAAACAATCAGTCTATGTGGACCTTGAGGTGATCTTTTATCTAGTTGCTTGGCTGAATTCATACGCTTGATCACTGAATCTTCTGAAAAATAATTTTGCTCCTGTTTCTTACGTAACTCTTTTTCCTCACTTTGAAGGCTAATCCTCCAGTAGGAAAGGATCAACCTCCTGATCTAGCGTCTCTTGTTCCATCTGATGCAATTTCCATACCAGGTCAACCTGACAAAGCAGCTCCTTCGCTAGTTTCTGACATGAGTCATGCCCCTGTCAATAACAAGTCAACTGGAGTTTCAGGTAAACTTTTGGCGATGTTAATGCTTTACTGATTGCACTGTTGCATCTGAACAAGATTTATGCACCTTATAATATATTGATGGTCAGCATTGTCCTTTTCTTCACTCTATCTAGGGAGAATCCAAACCTCCAAGAAATTAGATTCACTATATTCCTTTCTAGCCATATAGTCCATGATGCACAAGGAATGGTCATCCAGATCTGCTTCAAGCATCTTCAAACCCTCTAATTCTGCCAAATTCCAGTAAAGAGGGGAGGTTTGAATTTTTGAGCTTTTCACTTGAAGATTAATTTCAAAACGTTGATAAGACCATTGAGGCGTCTATCTATTGGTTTCCTTTTTACGTGACAATGGTCGTTCTTGATAGTGTATGTGGTTGTATTCCAACTAGAAATTTCTGAGAAACCAAAGGATCATTTGAAGTGGTTTAATATAAGTTCAACCATGAATTGGTGCCAAGGATCCACACGGTTATTTTTTATTATGCGTTCAGCTTATCTTGTTGGATTTCATTTTGGATTTTAATGTGGTTGCGGAAAACGTAAAGGAAACTGACGTCAATATTTCTTTGTTACTCAAATAGCTAAAGCAGTTAAGCCGTCAACTGATGTGCGGAAGGAGAAACTATCAAATGGAGTTAGCTTATCAACCTCGTTTGCTGATCCTGAAAAATATGTAGAAGACTTTATAGAGAGAACATCATCTCTTGTTCTTTCAGAGGTAAGTTAGTGAAACACTTTTTGCTCATAACTAAATATTTTTTGTGATGATTTGACAAATGTTACACCCAGTTAAAACTTATATCCAAATCAAATCCAGATAACGGAGGAGAATGTGAAGCAATATGGTGAGAAACTTGGTGAAAACATATCAAATACAATTAGGAAAAGACTTGCAATGGAGCTAAAGAGCACAGCTGTGAGTACCTACTTCCTCTTTTCTGAACGCATGTGATGAAATATAGTATGATCTCAAATTTTATATTTAAGCATCAATGGACACATATCTTAAGATAAAGCGGTAGGAGAGCCTATCCAAACAGAATTTATTTTGCTTTTGACATATATATTAGTCAAACAGAGGTCATAATGTTATAGTAGTAGTATTCTATCATAACGTAATGTGATAGTTTGGTGTTTGGGATTTTGCTGTATACTTCTTAAAGCAACGACAAGTTTGGATAGGATTGGTTTGGTTTTGTTTGAAAAAAAATTCATGCTCATCCCCATTTTCCTGGAAAAACTAAAAGTGAAAAAAGTCGAGTTCCTTCAAGTAGATGCTATTTTCACCATAGCTTTTTGTTTGTGCAGACAATGTTCAAGAACACTGCGTATTCTGAAGGTTTTTCTGCTGGTACTCGCCAACAAGCAAAGCGTCTTTAAAATATGTTATTTGTCTTCCATTTTCTTGTATCCAATTAAAACTTGATGCCATGATCTTATTCAAGTTATGACCACAATGCTAAGAGCAATTTGCTCCTTATACTTTTGAGCAAAATTGAAACATGTTTCATCGGAGAAATACATGTTTTCTTTTTAAAAAAATTACTTGCAAGTAAGTTTTTTACGGACGTTAAATTTCTCACTCTTACTTTCTTTTGATTTGACTAACATATCAATATTATTAGGTCCTTCCACATCAAAACATTATATCTCATATTCAATTTATTATTTGAATAAAAGCATGATGTCTTAAATACACTATCACGTGAGATATGTATGTATTCTAGTTGTAACAAGAGTTTTTGGGTTTGTAACTTGTATATTCTCTTGTTACTGTTTCAACGTATCTTTATCATGTATGTAGAATCATAAGAACACAAAAATAGTAATACACGTAAAAAATCATTAAGTAACATATATCAATAAAATATCATGATATGCCATAATCAAGCAATAAACACAACTTTTCACTTAATCAATGAAAATTATGGTTTAAAAAAAGAGAATGATAGTCCCAAAAAAGATAAGAGGAAGTTGTTCGAATGGTAAAAGATAAATATTCTTATTCAAGTCACTAAGAATTTTTTTTTAAAAAAAAACGAACTTATAGATGGTCATGTAGGAAGAAAAAAAATACTACATTATGTTATTTCATCTTCAAATAGTTATCTGCACTGAAATCTTTTTTTTAAAAAAATAGTACAAAAATTGTGATATAAAACAATTCCTGAATAGATAAATCTAAGACTCAAAAGTTTTACAAAACTTAGGATAAACAATTTTGTATATTTAATTCTTAGATGATTATTCTTTTTCCCATAGCCAAACGACCCAGCTTGTTTCGATCACTAGTCAAATTATATATTCACAAAAATTATAACTGGAAAGGACGACTAAATACAACGTAGAATATCAATTGGTATCTCTAACATGTGTTAGACATAGGCATGTGAAAGTGAAACACTCTTGCCACATTTTGTTGAAAATAAACATTAAACATTATTATATATTATCCTGATATATTATTATATATAAAAGGAGATTATATCTTGCTATATCCTATCTGGATGTATTATATTTGTTGCTACATGATGATACATTTTATATTATAGAAAGCATTAAAATTACATGTACATGTGTTCACAAATCAGCCTAGTATTCTTTAAAGAATTATTTAAGTTTTGAAATATGAGTTCCTTCATCTAACCTCATTTTAATTTAGTTTTTATTGACTTAGAAACTAATTATTCGAAAAATATTGAATAGCTCAATTAATTAGCTATCTGAATTTTCATTTGACGAGAGTTCTATTTCTTCTTATCTTATAACCTCCTTCTTTTCCCCTACCCCTAATTATCTTTTTTATATGCATATAAAAAGACATAATTATCCAAAACAAAGATTACTAGTAATTATTAGTTTTTTTTTGCTGAATATAATAATTATGAGTTTTGAGTGATGATGGAGTCGTGAAAATCAAGCTAGGTGTATTTTATTGTTACTTCTTTTGCTTCCATAAAAAAGATTTTATTTTAGGTGACATTCATGTATAGTCCCTATAATTTTTAGCGATAGATAATGTTTAAATTTCAAACTTATACAATTAAAAATGTAAATAAAATGATCCGAAGAATGATTATCCCATTAAAGTGAAAAATAAAATAAAAATTAATAAAAAATACAATTTACTATACTATGTAGACATGTAATTATGTTTCTACCTAACTCTTACCTTCTCCAACCATTATTTTGAAACTCTCACATTCTATAAAAGAAAGTCAAAGAAAAAAGAGTTACAATTAAGAAGAGAAGTGTTAAAAAGTACTTTCTCTCTTATATTTAGATTTAGGTGACACAATTTAACTCGATATAGTCATAAAAATTAAAAAAATAATTGAAATTTATAATTTATATCATAAATAATTTCATTAGAGAAACAAAACTCAAAGTTAAACGGTTTATATTTATAGAAAAATAATGTTCTATCTAAAAAAATATAACATAAATTAAGACCGATAAAATACAAAGTATTTGTGTGTGTAGGATAGGACTGATCACTTCTTAATCTTGTTTAATTTGCACATCTTGATATGGTTGGAGAAATAACATACCCCAAAAGAAATTTGACTTCCAAATAACATATAAAATATTTGATAAAGGAAGTAAAGTTTTTCACTTTTTTGATATTTTGGAAAAAAGCAGCAGCCTTAAAAGAACAAAGAGTTCCAAGAATCTATAATTGATATTTGAGAACACTACAAAAGGATAGCAATTGACACTCTCCCCTTTCCTTTAACATGACTTTATGTTGCTTTATTAATAAGAAGATTATAAATTAAAAACCAAAACGTTATTAATTTTTCAACTTTTATATTTTTCTATAAATAAATTAGAGTAACTGAATCAAATAATCAAAATATTTATAGTCAAATAAGCGTCTTGACTTGATATTTACACTAAATCAATAAACGCAATACACATGTATGATTTGATTGAAAGAGTGTATATACAAGTTATAATTGTTTGTCAACTAAAAGTTACAGCATTAAACTCAACCTCCAACAGGCATTTTGCCAGCCAGGGTGGCTTTGGAATATTCATTCAATACTTTGCATACAAGTAGTAGTACTAAATTTACATTTTATCAAACTTCAATTGTTAGTGTCACAAAATTTTCCATGTATCCTGTTTTGAACAGCTTTTATAGCAGCAACTCGAGCTGCAGTGGCAGCTCTGTTTGCTGCTATCACTGCCCTGTTCACTTGATCATCGACCCTACGTATGTTAATTGCATTCTCTGCTGCCTTTCTACTAGCCTGCATCACAAGTCAATGTTTGAGCGGTTGCATATGTTGATAGGGACTACACGAACTATATGAATCTTCGTTGATCAAGTTGGACTATAAATAAAGTTTACCTGAACAACTCGAAGGACGACATCAGTAAGTGGGGGCAATGGAGTATTGAGATTACCAGAGGCCCATTCACCACACCTTGTGTCACCATTTTTAAATTTGTACATTCCGTAACCTTGCTTGCGGCCTTCATGCCATGAACCTTCATAGCAATGCCCATTGGCAAAGTGATACACACCAAAACCATGAATCTTGTCACCGAAATATTCTCCTGCGTATCGATCCCCATTCCTGCACCAAATCCAGTGAAACACCAAGTTGCTTATGAAATACTATTCGTAATTGTTAAAACAATCAAGAACCAGAAAAATACAAGAACTTCACTAACCGCACTGCAAAGGGAAATTTCTTTTGAGAAAAATCCAAATATACATTATTAGTTTGGACTTGATTGATGCTAAGAAATTCACAAAATTCAACAGAAGGTAAACGAAAATCATCACCAGTTGATGAATACAATCGAATATCACATATATGACAGGATGAGAATCCTGGTCTCCTTGTAAGATTTGGATTTAATCTTTCTCCGTTTGAGCTAGCTTTTGAGGTGTGAGTTAAAGTCAGATCGTAACTAGTTTGACACTGATCTAAATCGAAATCCTAACAAAAAGACCCTAAGGATTCGAATTCTCAGATACGAACAACGATCTCCATGGCGAAGAAGTTAATTTTAAATTTACCTGAAATGGTAAGAGCCGAGGCCGTGTTTTATGCCACATTTGAATTCACCGATGTAACAGCTGCCATCGGAGCAGCTCTGGACCCCAATTCCGTGACTCTGTCCATTACACCATTCCCCACCATAGATATCTCCATTGAAGAATTTGTAAACTCCATAGCCATGCCTCAGTCCTTGTCTATACTGCCCTCTATATTTGCTACCTCTAGCCCAGCTTTCTACCCCATAACCATCGTACCTCCCGTCAATCCAGTCACCTTCATATCTACTGTTCATAGAATAAGTGTAGACCCCACTACCATTACACCTCCCCTTGTGAAACTCCCCTTCATACACGTCCCCGTTGCTGTATACCTCTACTCCTTCTCTCACTTTCCCCTTCTTCTCTTTCACATCTAATTTTCTCTCTCCGATGAACCATTGCACTTTAACGTGCTTATTAGACACTAAACCAAGTTTCCTTCCATACACATTACACGTCATCTTCAACCCATTATAACCCTGATGAATTGTACTCTTGTTCTTTCCGGCGAAGTAAAGCAAAATCGCAAAGAAAATCAGTACTAGAAGCAGATTCTCCGATATGGATCTGTCACCCCTGTTGAAGAAATAGAACAGAACGTATACAGAGAGCAAGAAAACCGCTATAACAGGAGCTACCCTGCCCGTACCATCACAGAAACGGGACGAAGCCGATCGAACCAGAGTAGCGCCGGTTCTGTGGGGCTTCTGTTCTTCAATATCCAGTTCATGATCATCTACGAATTCGTTAATTGAAGATACACTAAAGCTAGATGACCGGAGCATCGGAGATGATCGGAGAAGTGAAGAATGAGTCCTCGTAAGTTTCGCTTGGCTTCTCTGACCGTCCATTGTTAGCGAATTCACAACCGTTGGATCACTGTTACATCCTGTATCTTGATGATATCCTTATTACGAACTGAAATGGCGGCTTCATTACTCAGGCAGGTAAAGTGCGCAGGTTAAGCAGTTGAAAGTGCGCAGGTTAAGCAAGCTTTGAAGTAGCGGAAAACGAGACACAGAGAGAGCGTTGGTAGAGAGAGAAAAGAGATGATAGTGGACCGGGTTTAAAGTGAATTTGTGGAGCCACTTTGATTTAATTCAAGCCGTCGATGTATATTTTAAACGGCTTAATCCGAAGCCGCATATATTATTTTTTTTTCCTTTGGGCAGTTCCCTATTTTGACGGAATGATTTAGTCGTCGCATTTGTATGTAAAATACTTTATTTTCTAATACTTTTAGGACATTCCTCCTATTTTTTTAGACTTCAGTAATTTCATGATCTTAAAATTAAATATATTATTACATATAAATAAAAATAGGAGGAATGTCCTAAAAGACTTAAATATAGCATTTGAAATATTGAAGTATAATAAATAGAACGTATGAATTGATAATGAATAAGCACATAGTAGTAGTTAAAATGAGCGGTGTGTTTTCAAGCCAAAGGTGGAATTTACTCTAAAAAATTAAATATTCACTCTATTTTAAACTCTTCCCTAAAAATAAATTATATGAAAGATGCTGTTGTATTGCAATATGAAGTATCACATTCTTCATAAATAAATTTAAAATAACACATTGAATTTTTTTTTTATAAAAAGAATGAAACAAATGAAAATATAACATGAGTCACTTGTTTGTAATCTACAATTCCTTTTAATTAAAAGGAGATCCATTCTAATTTTGATTTTAACCTTTTAGAGAAAAATCTTAATATTTTTGAAAAAAAAATTAAATGATATTAATTAGTCTGAAATGACTAAGGGAGTATTTGATGTTCGGTATGAAGGATAAGAAATTTTTTAGTTTTCTGATTAAATAAATTTTCTCTAGAAAAATAAGTTCCTTAAACACTAGAGGAAATGACCTCCTTCCGAATCGGTGAAAGTAAAAAATTAAACAAGTTAAACAAATAACAATTCAAATTTTAGATTGGGTCTTTCACATCCTTCAATACACTTCGTAATCATCCTCATTCGCCACACCCATCCTCGTAGCCCCTATCCCCACTACCCACATCCTTACTCAATCCACACTCCATCTCTCACCATATTTTTCACGAAAAATACTTTTCTTCATATCAAACGCACTAAATTCTTTATTTTCTTCAATTAGCGTAAAAGAGGAGGAAGGAGGACCACTGGAACTAGTTGTCAAGATTTGATTAATTAGTCAAGCCAGCATTTTCACCTTTTTCATCAAAATTTGTTTTTTATTTGTCTTTTTGTTCAAACACTTCTAGTTTGAGTACAATTTTATGAAAAATAACTCAAATCAAACAGCATAATTAAAAAAATCACGAATTTTTTAACTAGTTCACTAGTCAATTTCAAGTGCCAATTTTTTTGTGTTAAGAGTTTTTTAATCTTTTGGTTAGAATATTTTTGTTCAAATTTTATTTAATGGCTAAATATCAACAAATGATCTAGAAATCGGTCATTCGAGTTAAATTTTACATAAAACCAAAATTAAATCCATTTATGATGGATTTTGCGGTTTCATGATTTATGGTACCATTTTTTAAAAACAAATTATTTAGGGAAAAAACAGTTAGCATTCAAAAAGATAAACTATTTATAAATGGTTATTTCCTTACTTTCATACGTTATATTTTTAACTATTAATTCATGTTTACTGTACTTTGATGGAATTAAAGAGGAAAAAGTTATGATTCAGTGAAATGTAGAGAATAGCAGAAGAAACGTATAATTCGGAAAGCCTTCTGCTAGCCCAAGATCGTTAACTAAGATCGGAAGATTCAACTAAAGAAAAGAAAGCTAGTAAGGAGAAAGAGTATTTAGGATAAAAGAACTTCGTTATAGAAGAAAACAATTTGATTTGGGTTTTTCCTGATTTCTTACAAATGCCTAATGTAACCCCTATTTATACTTGTATAAGGATCTTTCAGAAATTATTCTAGATACTTCTATAAGAAAAATCTAGATACTTTATCGTCTAACTATCTAATAAGAATCTAGATATTTCCATAATTTCATATAAATATCAACTTCTCTAGAACATCTATACAATTCCTAGACACATCATGTATTTAAGGTACTACTATACATAACTCTAGAAAATTCTACTAAATATCTAGAATTATTTGTACCTTCAAAAAATTATATTCAGTTTTTCACAAACACTACTTAATTACTCTTTAATACCATTAACGTATATAATATACTCATATGTATATACTTTGATGGCATTAAGAAAGAAGAGACATTAATACCATCAAAATACATATATGCTTGATGATATCAAGTATGAAGAAACATTCGTCGAGTCATGAGTGAGGGCATTTGCGTAAATAGCTTGGACAGTGGATCCAATCAAAATAAATATATTAAATTTGGTCTAATTTAAATAAATATATTACCTAATTGATCCAATTTGTGTAATTTTCTCAAATTATTTAACATGTGACCAGTATTTACAAACTTCAGACAAAAGGCCCATCGATTGCACAAGCTTTTCATCTTCAAAGCTTAGTTGTCGTACTTCACACCAAAGGACCACTTTTTTTCCAACTAAAAAGCACCTTAGAATAGGTACATGAATATATAAACCAAATGCAACCAAGATTTTTAATTTCTCAAAGTACAACCTTTACTAACGAGTTCAAGTAAGGAAAGCACTAATGGGAATCACACACGTCACATATGCAAATTTAATAATTTTTAACGAAATAAGATATTACGTTGGCTTTGCTGGAAAGTTCTATCGCATAGTTTGTTACATCAACTTCGAAAAGATAAGTTGTGTTGAAATTGATTAAGTTAACTGGAGTTTATAATTGCATAAAAGGAGTCAAAGTAATGATTGTGACACATAAGACACTTCTTCGACAATTCCCCTACATCGATATGATGTAAGATGAGAAGTTCTTTTCAAACCCTATTTGGTATTCAAAATCAGAGGGAAAACTAGCACAATGAAATACTTGTTATAAATGCAATCTTTTTTGGGATATAGAACACTTATTGAGACCTAAAGATGCGTGAAGTTTCATATTATATTCGCATATATTTGAAATTCAATTATATATGTTCAAACTTAATGAAAATATACTTGAAATTCAAGCATATATATCTTAACGTCACGTATAACTGTATGGAAAAATCAACTTCGAACAAATGTTTAAGGAAAAAGGTTGAAAGTTTTGGCCTGACTAATTAATTAAGGACAAACTTTATGCTAAAATATTTAAATCAAATTACGCATTTGTTGGCATTGTAGGTAGTTTTATTGAGGAATCGCTCAATAATTATTTGGACCATCTTACTTGATGATATTTTGATATGGCTAAACTTGCAAAAAAAAAATTATATATTGCAACTATCGAAATAATTATTTGCGCACTTGCCATTTGTGATTTAAAACCTGATTTCTAATTGAACTAGAAGATTTGAAGTTCAAAATTCAAAAGCTATACTAATCAAGATTATTATAATGGGTTTAATTAGAGATTAAAATCAATTTATAAACTTGGCAGATTAGTAACCCACTTTATTCATTAACTAAGGAATTTGGCCGCGCTTCGCACGGTCTTTGAAATAAATGATAAAGAATTACTTTTTTTAATTAATTATATG